TGTGAACAATAACAAGAGAAGAAAAAAGTTTTTGACATCCCCTACAGTTTAGGATAGCAGCAATATTTAGTGTGAATTTCTCTGCTCATCAAGCTAGCTACTCAAAAAGATGTCAGAAACTTGAGAGAGAGAGAGAGAAAGAAAAAAAGAAGTGAATGGAAAGATTGAGTTCCACGGTGTATCCTCATTGCCTGGTGCTCATGACTCGTGGCTTAATTTAACTTCTGGAGTAGATAGGAGTCTCTTTCTCTCTTTTTAAAAAAATAAAGTATCTTTGGTTAAAGAAAAAAACAGGTTTATTGCCCTTCAGATTGCTAATGGAATTGCCTTCAAACCAAATTACAATACACAATCCCTTGAATATATAAAAAAAAGGAAAAATGTCACAGTCAAAAGTGTCCCTTTCTTGGAATGTTTTGTGTATTACACCAAAACTACTAGAGAAAGAGAGAGAATTAGAGACCTGCCAAAGCCCAATTTGTTGGGTACAAGCAGGTAAAACCTGCCAAAGAAGATGCAATTGCATTTTCTCTCTCAAATGACTGAATTTAACCACTCTACAGCGAAATGTGCTTCCATTTGGGTTTTCCAGTCTGCTCATGTTAGTGGTTCTCTACCCTCCCTCCTGCATTCTGACCTCACAGCAGGTAACAGAACATCCTCCTGAGGAGAGACAATGTCTGTGTTCCCTTCTGCTTCCTGCACAGGCAGAATGCAAGAGGACATGATGGGGAAAAGAACCACTTTTTCACTCTGCCAGCCATAAGCCACCCATTAAACTTCCAGTATCTAAACATTCTCCTACCCCCTCAAGTTTCCATACCATGTACCCCATGCACACAAGGAACACCAACTGAACCAAACCATGCCAATCCCATTTCCTCTCCAAAGGACTCTGCAAGCAAAACCAGCTGGCTGTTGTTATGTGTGTGGTACTGACAGCACGCAAAGCTTTTATTTCCTCTGCTGAAATGACTGTGTTTCCCCTATGACCAGTCACACCTTCATCCATACAATTCCTTTACACAAGAGTGAGGGAGGAGGTGTTTCTCAGCTCCCTTATATCCACCAGAAAACACAGCTCTCTCACAGTGTTGTACCATCAAAGCAATCTGATTGCTGTGCTGTGCATCTTTTGTAATCAGCATCCCATCACCACGACCGCCTGGCAGACCAGCAACTCCAGGATGGACAATGTGAAAGGTGGCTCCTCTGACATGCACTGTAACCCTTCTCTCTGCCACTCTGTGCTGTTGTAACAGTTCCACTGTTACCTCCCAAAATCAGATAAGGTGGCTCCTCTGACATGCACTGTAACCCTTCTCTCTGCCACTCTGCTGTTGTAACAGTTCCACTGCCAAATACCTCCCAAAATCAGACCTGAGCCTATGTGGGAGGGCAGGTCAGATGGGTACACAGGGAAAATGCAATTAATACAAGTAAAACACTACTGTGATTGAGACTGCAACCTTCCATGCTTTGCTAATCTTAGGCCAGAGGAGCACATAAACAAGTATTTAACTTGAAGTTCTTTAGCAAAGCATTCAAGAGCATGATTAACTTTTAGTCTTTGCTGAAGTCCTATAATTTTTTTGATGGAATTTAAATTCAGTCACTGCTTCCTTCTATTCTAAAAGAGCAGGTGATGCAAATCAAATCATAAATACCTAAACTGTAGCAACCAGAACAGCATAACAAAATTCCACAACAAATAATTGTAAAAGAAGGGAAAATCTACGTCAGGAACAAAGAAAAAAATCAAACCAAGCATTCTGGCCTGTGGACACCTAATTAATCTTCAGTGAGAGTGGAAGAGCAGGTGAGGAACACTGCCCTGTCTGCAGCCATGCTTTACCCAGCTAATGCCATCTGTGTGTGGCAGCGTGCTTTATCCAGTGATGGGACTGAGAGCCACCCTTGCAGCTCTGCTGTGGCTCCTTTGATAGCCGTGCTTCTGGAGAGCCATCCAACCATGTCCTCCTTTAGGAAAACCAAACCCTTAATGTGTAGTGTGGCCTTGTGTCTTCGCAAGGGCTCAATGATCATGGCTTGGAGCACAAATAAGTCTTAATCTTAGATAAACATCCTTTCAAACTAAGGGATGGTGAGCTGGACCCTGGGGCACCAAGGTCCTTACCTGCCTGTGATCCAGGTCTCCTGACAGATCATTATGTTAGCTGCTAGCAGATATGAATGAATGTTTCTGGACTTGTCCTGTAATGCAGATGTGACCCAGAGGATAACTCCTGTTCCTCAAGGCCGTAACCACTCTCACTGAGTGATCCTACTCCCCCAGATTAGTGGCAGAGTTTTCATCATTGGAATAATCTTGTTTCTCCTTCCTCCTGCAGTTCTCATAATCACAGTAACCCTTCCAATGCCACTGATGAAGAGAAATAAAATTAACAACAATAACAACAATAAGAGAAAAAAACCCCCACAAAGTTTAAGGAATGCGTGTGCAATTAAAACCCAGAGTAAAATATAATAATAATAAAATAATAATCATAATCATAACAACCATACAATAAAATAACATTATCTTTCCTTTTCATGACATAAGCAGCATGATGCTCTCGCTCCTGAACTGGTGAGAGAGGAGAGGAATGCAAGAGAGAGAGCAGGGCTTTATTTTCCTGCCTCAGATGAAAAGGGACGTGTCTTTCCAAAACAAGAGCGGGGGTAAGGTGCATAGGCTGCTGGGAGATTGCATCCTCATCTACAGTATATTGAGCTGGAATGAAGGACAGGCAGGAGAAGAAAACTGTGCAAGAGTAGCCCAGGAACCAGAGCTAGCAACCAGGAAGGTTATTTGGTGGTTTGCCAGAAGACAATAGCCTTGTTGAACAGCCTATGCATAGCAGGATCCCTTCGTCTTCCAGGCCAGCCAAGCACTTACCACAAAACAATGTATTTGTGCTTGTCTTTCTGTCAGCTTTTCCAACCTGAGAGAGCCTCCTTCCTCACTGCCACTCAAGGAACCCATCCCTCACTACCCTGCCAACAAACCTGCTATTTTCCAGCATCTTGCAAAACACCTGACTACTTCATGCTCTAGTTACAAGGAAATGTAGAGTGGAACTGAGCAGCCCCATAGACTTCAGCTTTCATGGAAACGTTCTACCAAACTCCTTTCTCTCCTTCCTCCTCAGGACATCCACAGGCATGATGGTACTGATGCATCAGTGCAAGTGCCATTACCAGGGAAACTCCCCGCTGAACCAAACCAATGACAGGAAAGGCTCTCTTTAGAAACTGTTGGAAAACAAAACAACCATGTAGCATTCCTTGGTGTGGAGGACCAACCTACTCTCCAGTTCCAGGGTCACTCTGCCATTGCAGGCAGTTTTTTGGGGTGTAGGTGAAAAGAGAGCAGGGGAGGCACACAGTGTCACAGCTATGTTAGAGTGGGTAAGGCTCTATGTATTACAATACTCTTTTCACTTAAGAAACCTGAGATTGACTCTCTCAACTGGATTTTCTCATGCTTGCTTTGCGACTCCAGCCCTTTCCTGACCCTTTCTTGTCAACAGACACAGTGAGAGATGTTGGCAACAACTAGTGTTTCCCCTTATCAAGGACTAAATTTTTGTTCCCATTTCAGACACATGACCAGGACAACCTGATGATGAGGGTGGACGCTGTCCTCCCACTCCATCGAGAGCATCAGCAAACAGCAGAATGAGAATTCAGTTTCCAGGGAGGAAACCTGCTATTTCAACAGGACAGAAACAGACCAGTCCACAAATGAGTCCCCAGATCCTCTGGGTCCTCGCAACCGACCTGGTTGTTTCTAGCCCATCCAGTGCTTGACAAAACACTCAGTTATACGCACTTCTGACCCCCAACGAGCCACTCCAACACCTCGTGAGCTACGATTGACGACGTGGGAAAAAAACCCAACACCACCAGCAGGAGAAAATTGGCAGTAACAACCCTCCCCCACCAAAAAAAAAAAAAAAGAAAAAAGAAGAAAAAAAAGTAAAAGAAAGAAAAAGAGCTGAGAGTAAATTCCAACTAGCCTCAGTCAGTTTCTAGGAGTACCAGTGGAAGTAAACCCTTAAACCGCGTCTGTAGTTTGGTAAGGCACTACGAGGGAATGATGTAAAACTAAGACTGTGACAGTTGTAATGGCTGTGCCGAGGAACACATCACAGAGAGAAGGCAGCATCTGCACTCACACACACACACACACACACCTGGACAATCACATTGTTACATGCCTATGTAATATCACTTTTCTTTGTGCAATCACATTGAGGAATAGTCTATTGGTATCGTTGAAGTTCAACACAAAAGAGTAAAAAGGGGTATGACCTGTATAGTGCTACATTCTACCGGGGCTGGGGGTGGGGGGTTGGGGGCAGCTAAAATGTCTCCTCCTATACTAAAATGAGTAGGGATTGAAAAGGAACACTTCCAAAACAAAACAAAACAAAACCCTAAAAAAAAATGCAACTGAAATCCAACATACATTATTAGAGATCTTGTTTAGGAATAGCATTTCTCAGGGATTTATCCAGTGTGTTCAAGAAGAGGGAGAAATACCCCCATTGCTTCTGCTCTCAACCAGTGCTGCATGGCCTGTTTTGCCCAGGTGTGTTTAAGTGTAGCAGTGTTAAACCCAAATTTAAAGCACTGGGACAACGTTTTGTCCCCCACCCTCAGCCTCCCTTACCCACTTTCCTTTTCTGTTAAAAATCCCCCCAAACCTATCTATACTCTGGGATACAGAAACTGCTGCATAAACCCTTTGAAATGCTGGATAAATCCCTAATCCATATACCTACAGGATTAAAAACCTAATGGATTTCATTTTAGGTGTTCTGGACAACAAATTTCTAAATGTAGCTCACTATTGAATGAAAATAACCTTTAAAAGTCTGTTGGTGAAGTTCTTCAAAAGACAGGACCCGCTGGAGGGTCCTTCTCCTTCTCTCTTTCTCTCTAGTTTGGTGCAGAATGGTTGGGTTTTTTTGTGGTTTATTTTTATTTCCTGTTCTTTTTTTCCATTTTCTTTTTTTTTTTTAAATAAAAATTGTAGAATTGGTTTTCCCCCTTCTTTCCTCTTTTTCTTTTCTTCCTAAAGTCTCCTTCGTTCAAGTTTCACACGAGCCTCCCATTGCATTGTTAGTTTGTCATGTTCTTCAATACAAAAGCGGCTGCCTCACTCCCCCCGGGCTGGGTGCGTCTCTCGCTCTTTATTCCAGTGTTTAGATGTAAGGGTACTGGTTGACCTTGGTGGGGCTCAGCGGGTATCCAGTGTAGACTGTGGAGGCTGGAGAAGCACTGATATAGGTCTGATGGGCAAACTGAGCCTGGTACTGACTCGGGTGGATGGTGGGCGAGGGCAGGACGCGCGGGCCCATGCTGACGGGGACCTGGTGGACGATGCTGGCGGGGTAGGTGGTGTGCTGCACCGCGTGCCGGGCGGAGCCTTGCGAGGCCACCAGGTGCGCGACGGTGCCCGTGGAGCCCAGGGCGGCGGGGGCGGTGTATGTGTACAGGTGGGGCTGGGTGGGCAGGTGGGCAGCGGCAGCCGCGGCCAGGTGGGGATGAACCGTGCCGTGGCTGGGGCTGTTGTGCGGGAAAGAGTACGGGGCCTGAGCTATCGTTGGAGTGATGTAGGCTTGCTGTCTTCGGTGACTCCCTGCGCGGTCGGTCGAGATGTGCTGCTGGCCCTGGATAAAGACAGCAACAGTGATAGGTGGTTACAAGACAAGAGATGGCTCTTTACCTCCTCAGTAGTGTCTGGGAGCCTCCCTGCAACACCAGGACAACCTCAGAAAAGTCTCCTGAGCTCCTCCTGACACCCTCAGCATTGCCGGTCTTCCCCTGAAAACGAGTGACAGCGTCCCTCACAAGCCCAGGAAAACCCTGTAGTTTCATACATTGGCCAAAATGACCCCCAGAAGGTAAGCAAGTCCCCCAGTTTGAGCTACAACCTGCTGACACAGCTACCAAAAGACACAACCTTGGACGCCCAGCTCCCACGAACATCTTCCTCAAGTCCAGTTGCTGAGGCAACAAGTGTTTTTTGTTGGTGAACTCTCTGATGACAAATTGTGGTCTACAGATAGCTCAGGGGAATGAGATTGCCTAACTATGCCTGGAACAGGCAATTTATTTTTGTTCACTTTGGGTATTTGCAGTTAATGATTTCCTTGGCTAGTAAAAATAACCACTTTTTTTTTAAGGAGAAAACTCTCAGCTTGATTAGATCCTGCAGGTGCCTGGTGCCCTCATTGTCCTTAGCTAAAATTACTTGAGCATAGGAAACTTCTAGCAGCAGGAAGAGACCAATGTACTTTTCTTCCCAAGGATTTTTTAAGTTGTGTTCTTGCATTGCACGAAAATGCAGGGAGTTTTCCCAGTCATTTATAGTCAGAGTATTAAATTACCAATAAAGCAGGAATTAGAAGACAAGAAGGAAAATGTTCCATGCTATTTCCTTCTATTCTTCCAAACCTTTTCATCCTTTTTGTAAGCACTCTCTGTGCCATTACTGTGGAAATATGGTAGCCACACTCCTCCCGAACTCTTGCAAAGAGCATCTTGTCCACTTCCTCCATTTTCACACACTTTTATTTAAAATTTGTTCACATTTTTAAATATCCTCTGCATATTGAAGGAGAACAGACATACTTCTCCAAAATAAACAAGTTATTTTTCTTTTTAAAAAACCGTTCTGCTAATATCCAGCTCTGGTTGCATACCAGCACCGTCCTCTGAGCTCTCCAGACTTTCTCCTCTTGAAACACTGGTAACTGAGCTGTAACTTCCCTACTCTTCTCCGCTCACCTCAGGGAAGAAAGAGGCCCCAGAGGCAGGATGTGAAAAGGGTATTATTTCCTGCAGCTCCTGGGAAGATCCCTGAGAGTTCTGATCACAGATTGGGAAACGGCTCAAGAACTGCATGCTGCCAAGAAATGGGATTTGTCCAGATCTCAGCCCAGCTTTATCACAAGATGGATCAAACTCATTACATGAGGTCACCTATACACATAGAGGGTCTGCCTTTGCCTTGTCCCACCTGATGGGGACTTCTCTCCCAGTCCCACAGCCAGGCTTATGCACTCTCTTCACTTGGAAGATATTCTCCCCATGGTTACTTACAGCTAAGGAGAATTCAGTCCTTCCTACATGCTCCTGCTCCACTCCTTTGTGGCTGAGTCACTGCATTTCCCCTCTCATGTTATTCCCACTCAGAGCATCAGGCTTCAGAACACACAGGAAGAGCACCCCCAGCCCACTCAGCGGTGTGATCTGCTCTACCTCTAGTGCCTGAGCTGGAAGATCAAGGTCTGCAGTCAAGCAGAAACAAGTTGATCAAACTCAACATGGGGTCCAACTGTCACTAGACTGGAACAGGACAGCCCATGATGGAGGAGTGGTAGGTAAGAGCTGGGTGATGCACCAAAATCAGTCTTGGTTGACTTACCTGACTTAGATTTAGAGGCTGCTGCTGCTGGAAATGTGCTCCTGGTCGCTGCTGCCTATAGGCAACGGCTCCAGACGAGCTCCCTGAAGAGTGACCGCTGGTGGAGGTCACGGTGCTGGAGGACTTGGACTTGTAGGAGGATGAGTGGTGACTGGTGGTGACTGTGCCAGGAAAGGAAACACATTTGTAGCTTACATGACATTGTTTACTTGCTCACCCTACCTTTTCCTCACTGAGTCTCCTCCAGAGTGGCTTTTGGGAGGAGACATACAACAGAAGCAGGTTAAGAAAACTGTTTCTCTCAATTATCAGAATACCTCAGTAGGGCTTGATATACACAACAGGCCTGTTCTCCTAGAGGCAGACAAACAGACCTGATTAACTGGACCCAAAGCAGGCCTGGAGCAGGCTTTATAGATCCTTCAGAACAATGAGACAATGTTCTGCCAGCAGAACTGTACAACGCAGGTACAAATCCCAAGGAGAGGATGGAAAGTATGGTGTGCACAGCTTAAAAAAGCCCTGGCTTGCCTAAAGTCAGGTGAGTGGGAAGGGAGGGAGAAGGAGCTGGTGGGGAGCTCGCCCCTCGAGCCTTTGTGCTCATCAGCAGTGCATCCAAAGCAAGGACTGCCAAGTAGCTCAAAGCCAACAGCTTTGGGCCAGACTTCCATCATAAAGCCTTTTTCAACACATCACACTATCTAGCATTGCAGAGGTTCTGGATGAGCAAACCTCATGAGTCCACGGTGAAGATCCTGGGGAAATGTTCTTCCCAGAAACGTCAGCAAGTTTGGATGAAAATTCACATTTTCAATCCCTTACCTGTTTTAATGAAAGCCTACAGAAAGGTAAGGCAGCAAAGGTTCACACTTGCATTTGGGTGCCTTTCATGTCAAATGTTGAGCTAAAGGCTGCATTCTATTCTTGGGTTTGTACAGAACTAACTGGGACCAACACTTGACCCACGACTCCTGAGTGAACCAGGGCACATAAATAATGCAATATGGCTACCAAGAACAGATGTGTCACTTGAGAGAAGTGCAGGAGCACAGTTTCTTTGGAAAACAAACCAACCAAACAAACAAAACGAAACTGAACAATGAGATTCTTCCAAGATAAATCATTTATTTCTTACTAATTTTCTTGACGGAAGAGGTGCAATTTACCTGGTGCCAGGCTATCGCACTCTACCAACACCTCACTGGCCTGGGTTTTCAGTGGTGGCACGATGATCGTTCGGGGGTTCCCACTGCAGTGAGTCTCTGGAACCCCTTTGGTGTCGTAGCTGTTCCCATTATTCTGCCCTGTGCGATGTTGCACGGCGTAAGGGCTGTTGTTGCTGGAGGAATCGGAGTAGGGGGAGTCATGCACTGTGACACAGCTGATGACATTCTTCCTTTGCTTGGACAGGGTGCTGCAACACAAGCAGACAAGTGGAAAGAGTGAACTGGCAATGATCGACTCAACACCACTAGAAGGCTCTGCCCGTGGCAGACGAGCTCTGTAAGGACAAAGCACAGCCTTGAGTCCTCTGCTGGAGAGAGACTGCTTAAGCCAAATCCCGGGCTTCAAAACTCCCTCGTTACTATTCCAGGAAAGCCTTCATGGAGGTCAAGGAGTGAGTAAGATGTTGTGGATAGATCTTATATTCACACTGCTTAGAATAGCACTGAACCAGACTGCCAGATTTATTTTCAGACTGCTTTTTATGTATGTGTGCAGTAGAAGCCCAGCAGTTATACTATGCTTTGTTGCAAGTCTCACCACCCACACAAAAACGTGGCAGTTTCTCCCAGCATTTCAGCAATGATTTAATAATAGATGCTATGACTTTTCATGCTTAAATTCCATGAATCTACAAAACACACACCATTCTATTTACTAAGATGGTACAATAGACACATATTCTCAATAAGCATTTGAAAATGAGAGAGAAATGAACAAAGTATGCAAAGCTTTTGATTTTCTTCCATTTCTCTGAACAGGCTCTGGGTCTCCTGACTCTAGTGTAGATTATCAAGGTCCTGCTGCAACTAATCTATCTATGACATCAAAAAAGTGATTAAAAAGGCACATCAACACTTCCAAGATTAGTGCTGGAAGTTCATTAGACTAGACTGCATGAGTACGACTGGGATTTGCTCAGGCTATTGTGTCTAATTATTCCTCATGGTTTCTCCTTCCTGTTATGAGCTTGTTTAGGGAGAAAAAGGGAGAGTGAGAAAGAGGAGGGAGGAAGGGGGATGGTGAAGATTTGCTTAAATGGCTCACATCCTTGACAGTGCACAGACCTTGACTACAGAAAATAGCTGTTATGTTTCACTGATTGCATTATGTTGTTATGGCAACTGAAGTTTTTAAAATGATGAAAAGAAATGGATAGCACATAAAAAGCTAAGTAATTAGGCTTAATGGTGGAAACAGCCCCAACAGGAACAGAAATGCTATGGAGAAAAAGGAATCTTAACTTCATGAGTGTGCACTTTAAACAGAGAGAGATCTCTTTCCCATGGAGCGTCCTCTCCATTTTCCCAGTCTGGCTAGTCCAGTCCAGGGAACAGCTGATTAATCTGGTCTCGGTCTGTGATGGAGCTGTTTGTTCCCTGGTCTCAGCATTGCTTCCTTCCCAAAGGAAGGTGGAGCAGACACTGAGAACAGTTTCCTTCCAAGGACATTGTTTGCCTTGTTTATTTTCCACAGTCCTAAAGGAGCACTGGTGGGTTCCCTTCAACTTGCCCATCCCCAAAGTCTCTCTGTCAGCATTCACAACCTGCAACTCACCCCCCGTATCCCAAGACTCAGGGTTGAAAATCTATTTTCTTTTCCCTTTAAAGAACACCTTGGGTTGCTGCATTCTCAAACAAGTTCCCATCACACAGATGTTCCCTGGGCTATCATCACAGTGTCCTGGTGTGCCCTGAGGAGGACAAAAAGACCAGGTTGTTCTACTCACTGTGAAAAACATGTTTTGAGAGGCCCCTGCCATCCTAAAAGATTGTAACTTGAGACAGGGCAGACGACAGAGAAGGAGAGGGATCTACTGTACAGCAGTTGGAAAAGAAATCCTTCCAGGAGCAGGGGTGGACTGACAAGGAAACAACAAGCAAACCCTCATATTCTGGCTTTTCACAAGGAGCTGCAGAGCGCTGGATTAGAAATGGAAAGAGCAGCAGTGCATCTTAGATGGACAATGACTGTGTGTGAAGAAAGATGTAGCAGTTTGGATATGCTGCTATGAAAGAAGAATATTAAGCCAATAAAAATGACTAATATTGCATCAATATTCCCCTCTCCATCAGCAGAAAGGCCTGTAATCACACATTTATGAGTATCCATGCTGCTTGCCCTTTGCAGCTACCCTTGGCTGCCAGTTGGGAAGAGAGATATATTCTTTATCTCTGACAGTTATTACATTTTATAAAGAAAAATCAAGTCACTAAAGAGTTTTCTGACAACTGATAAGGTCTAACTGTTCTTTTACAGTCCCTTCCTGATCTAAGTGGCTGAGCTGCTGAACTGGAAATGCTTGCTCTCAGCTGACAATTGACATGAGAAGGTTGAGCCATAGAACTGGAAGGGTAATTTTCTGTGTAATCTGTGCTATTTATTGTTTTAGTATGGGCATATTTTTCACCAGTTTGATTGAGGGCTTGTCAAAGCAGGGACCATGGGATCTTTCTCCTTCAAAGTGTTAAAGCTCCTTGGTTACAATAAGAAATTCAAGTATAACTGTTTGATTAAATAAGTAAGTGACTCCAAACCCAAACCTTTCCAGAGAAAGGGACCATATCATTTCATAGATGGGAATCTGAAAAGGACCAGAGCTATGGTCCTGCCAGGCCTTATGCAAGTGCTCAGCACTGCTAATATGTGTCATTTCCCAAAGTCAACTGGACTATTCCTGTAACAGAGCTAAAGCCCATGGGTAAATATTTGCAGGATTAGGGCCCAAGTGATCAGCCTCTCAATTCAGCAGGCTGCATCATTTCAAACACACGAGGAGTCCCACTGAAAGCAGCTGGATTTCTGTATCTAGGAAGGGTAACAACTGTGGTGAATGTTACAGCAGGCAGAGAAGTCCTCAGTCTGGATTAATCACACATGCCCAGAGCTCAGCACCTGCTGTACCACAGCCTGCCCCAGAGATTAAGGGTGGGAATTAAAAAAACATCAAAGGCCCAACTCATGCTGAAAATCGCTTGATTCACAGGCTTAAAAATACACTTTAATCCAAAATGGAGGGTTTTGAAAATTCAGCCCAGCAGTTAGCATTCCCCCTACTCAAAGTCTTCCTGGTAGCCAGCAGCTTTCCCCCTTCCAGCTCCTGCTCAGCTGCTCTTCCCACCTTGCAGTAACCCAGGAGCTATCTGTGTGAGGCCCAGGCTGAGGGATCACCCTCCCTGCTCACAAACTATCAGGACTGAGAGCTTTTACCTGTTGACACAGCACTTGCCTACTCAGCAAGCTTACTGTATTCCTATAACTCAGCCACAGCTTTTGGGGATGCTTGTGCTTACACAGAAAAACACTATTAAAAGTCTTGCCCCCTTCCTATTAAGCTCTCTCCAAGCCTGGTAATTGCTTTCCCTCCTGCATGCACATAAGCAGCAGCAAACATGATTTAGTAGTTTGGAGAGTTGGTCTGTGGTCCTGGGCAGCTCATGTGCCTGCCTGCATTGTGTGGGAAGGTGTATTTTAATTCTCCAGAGGAGGGAGGGAGGAAGACTGGTGAAGTGCCAGTGAATCCATCCACACAGAATGAAAAGCACTGAGCCACGCAGGCTTTTTAACCCTTACTGCCAGGGCTTGTGTCTCCCCCTTTTGGGGGCACACAGATAAAATAAGCATTGCTTTGTATGTTTATTATTAGCTTGTGAGTAGTATCCTATTCCCACCTGGTCCTAAAGAGCTTATCCTCAAACTTGGACCCAAACCAGTTCACATCTGTCCAACGTGCAGACACAGAGCACAACCATGCCTTTTAAGTAGAAGCAGGTCTTGGAGATGGCTCTCTAACATACACCACCCTCAGGATTGCCCAGGAGAGGTGGATGAGGGTCCCTATTCCCTCCAGCAAGGAGAAGCCTGATAGAAGAAAAGGAAGGAAGATAGTTCGTCCAGAGGCACTCTGCAAGAAACTAAGGTGGTCACCTGAGATACTGTTAATAGAAAGGTGCTGAAGACAGATGTTGAGAACAAGAAGTGAGCACAAATTAAGGAAAGGAAGATGCTGAACTAGGTGCTAAAATAATGCTGAATCCACCTCAATAGCCAAAGAGAGACAACAACTCCAAAGATGATTTTTACTTGCTGAAGGCCCAGCCCCAAAGCTTGGTATGCAGCAGCATTGTAACAGGATCTTTTTTTTCCCCTGAATACCTTAAGTTACAGCAGAATCACAGAAAAACCAAATGGTGTCTAGTGGGAGCAATTCTTCAGCATGTGGTTCACTCCAAGAGCTACAAACCTTTCAGTGCTGCTGACACTGTAGCAACAGAGTCTTTTAGCTCTCAAGGTCACCAGCCATAGCACAACTGTACCTTTGAACTGGTGTGCATAGCTTTACCTCACATCACAAAAACTCTGTCCTAGGTCTCTGAAAACTTAATGACATGCAACCCTTTTAGTTTGCTGCTTCAGAATAATCCACCTATTCCAGGAAAGCATGGAGTCAGCCAACAAAAACTCACACCACAATGGCAATCAGTCTCCTCATGTTGAAATCTTATGCCATACATAGCTCAGCATTGGGAATGTGCCCCCTCTCTTCAGCTCAACCTCCATCCTGACCTGTTAATCTGCTCTCACCTTCTTTGTGAATTTGTGATGGTAAGAAATATTTATCAAGTACTACACTGAGGCCATTTTATTAGGCTATACAGCATGTGTCGCTGCTATTTAAGTCATATAAACTGAATTGCTGAGCAGGTTGTAAAGGTCCTGCTGCTGAAGGTCTGCTGACAGAGGTACTGTCTGTTTCTGTAATTTAAAGTATTAGCTGTATGTCGGTGTCTTCTGGAGATGGAAGGCAGCAATCCTCTAACCAAATGACTGTGGTTAGTCAGTGTATTGCTATGCAGTCAGTGCATTACTATGCACAGCAGAACACAGCCACAATAGGCTAGATGTCAAAAGAGAATTTCAAATGATGTTTTGCCCCTCACACATGCGCATCAGCAAGTTGACAGAAACACCTGGTTTGTGCCTACCAGCAATTTCTGTGTGTAAGTCTCCTGAACTGGGCTCCACCACCACTGCACTATGACGTGAACAAGGTGAATAAAAACTTGCTTACGCTCTGTTACAGAGGTGAGACTCACACAGAAACTACAGAGCTTCCCATCTTAAGAGGGAGGGGAAAACCCCATAAGCCCACAAGGATTTTGTGCCAGTGAAGATGGTCAGTGAGGCAGTTCCTCAGCATGCCAACGCAACATCAGCAGTCAGTCTGCTTTGTGCAGAAATACAGTGATTACTGTTAGGATCCCATGGAAAACCAAGCTGGAGTGATGTTACCTATGACAGCAGCACAGGCAGTGGGGAACTGAGGGGCTCTCCTGCCTCTTTGGAAGCATCCCCAAAACCACCCAGCTGAAGGCCATCACTGTATTGTTTCAAGGAGAGTCTTGTCTTCCTTGGCTCCTGCACTCATTGCTTAGAGGGGAGGTCATCTGGGCATGTCACAACAGCCATGTCCACTCCCCTTCTTTCCACCCCTTCCTCCTGGCATGCCCTGCAATGCATGGATGCAGAAATATCCCTCATTGGACCACCAGTGCAGCCCAGTGCATCCCTCCCCAGGACCTTGTGTGCTCTCCCTCCCTGCCACAGTTCCAAGGTGCCTTTGTGCCTCTCTGTTCCATGTCTCATCTCCTGCTTTCTCTCCAGTTCTAAGCTTTAGAAATATTTAATCAAGGGAGGATTTACATTTAAACCAGGGCAGCAGGTGAAGCTGCATGCTGGGGAGCAGTTAACCCCTACTATGTGCCACTTGCTGAGTGTGAGCTCCAACCACTGCGACGGCACTTGCACTATCAGTCAGCTGCCCTGCCCACTAGACTTTCTTGCAAGAGCAAGCAGAGAAACCAAAAACCAGTAAATTTTTAAAAACAAATATCAATCTGCTTTCTGTCTCACTCTCTTCACCGTGCTTTATAAGTAATGGTTAGACCTAATATCTTCCATTTAGAATAAATAACAGTTGGAGTTACTATCTTACAGCACAGCACTGGAAGTCTCTTTGCCCTATGAAATCTCTCTGTAAAGTATTCTGATCTTAGAGTGTACCAGCCTATTAAACAAACAGGGTGACAAAACTGTTTCCTGTTATTATAATGCATTTTATAAGCCATTATTCCCCTGATGTTCTATAGGACAAAATAGCACATGCAAAACTTTGTGAGCACCAGAAACCAGGTAAAAACAGCTCCATTTGGTAAAACTGTTCCCTTTTTATTTTGACCATTTCAATTTAATTTTCCTGTTATTTGCTTACATTTTGAAGGAACAAAACCCTTCATTAAACCAGAAAGGAGAAGTCTGCTATTTAATTAGTTAATTTCCTGACACTTTCTTCCCTTAAACAAAGGTCAAAACTTTTTGTAGTTTTTCCAGATTTCACTGTGTTGAGGGTATTACTAGAAAAAAACCTCAGTGTAGCCAGCAAGAATGCCTTGTTTTTGATGAAATTACTTTTCTAATCAGGAATTTGCGCCCTGAAAATCTCTGGCCATCTCTGTGAGGATGGGCCCTGCTGAGCTGCAGCTGAGGTTCCTCCTCGGTGACTGTGCCTTAGGCACAGGGCTGGGGCCCAGTAGATGGCCCCCTTTGACAAGGCTCCACCGAGCAGGTCCTCCAGAGCTCATCTCACGCCTCCTCCCCTGCACCTCTACCCAACAGGAGCCCAACATTTTGAGATCATTATCGATTTTATAAAGATTACACCAAGCTACACTCACCAACAGTGCAAAATGAAAAACATGCTGTCCTGCCTTCCTGACCAGCTGGTATTTCATAAACACATAATACTTCCTACCCTTCAGTAGGAAAAGGAAAATCCTGACCACATCACCATTTTTCAGATTTTTCTTTCACCAATAAAAAAATGTGCATTCCCTGTACGAGAAAAGCTCTCTCTTCTTCTGTGGTATTACAGAAAGGCTTTTCTGTCTGAGTAAATCCAAGCTGTAGAGCTCCTTTACTGCATCAGCAGTATCATATTTTAGCAACATTACCAGTACTTTTTAAACTGAGGGTGACAAACTCTTACATCATCAAAGGATCTATTACTTCTCACAACCAATCTCTCTACACTAAGGAATCAATAAAATAAACATTTTTAGTCTCATGGGTCAAAGGGCAATTTCTAGCCCTGGAAGAAGTAAAAGAAAGAGGTGCTGTAGCAAATTCAGGAGCTGATTCAATGACAGGGAATGCAATGCAAAGTTACCACTGCTATCAATAAGATGTGATCAGGCAACTACCTTTGATCTGTCAAATGGCATTTGATTTCTATATTCTAACCTAGAAAAAGCTAATGCTTCTAGGATGTGAAAAACAGCACGTTTCAAGTGATTCCTTGAAATTTTCACCCCCACACCACAGCTATTACCCAATATGGTAATATTTGCATATATGAGCCAGACAATGCATTCTTTGCATGGTTTCATTTTCTACTCAGATCCTGAACCTTTGGGCCCTGATTACATTAAGCACATACTTCACTGTCACTCCCATTTTTCTTGGAGCCAAAAAAATAGGCAAGAAAACTTAAGAGGCATTTTCCTGAATGAGACAAACTTTCAATGAGAAAGACTTCAACTTCAGCAGGGACAAAGTTCATTGGCATTAAATGCTGATACAGCTTCCTTGACTGGAAGTTACACTCTCACTCCAGCTGAGAACCTGGTCTTACATCTACCCATGTCAAAAGGTACTGAGCAAATTGATTTTGCTCTCCTGGAGACTTTAACGAAAAAATTCTCATTCTGGCCATGCTGTTTTCCACCTGTATCTCTACCTCTGATTTTCCATTTGCTCCGGTTACACCTGCACAGGAAATTTAACTCACTCATGTCCATGCAAAGTGTCTCTATGTGGCTCACAAATTAAATCTAGCTCTTAAGCTCTGGCCTTTCTGGAATGCTGGCACCCTGGCACTCTATAGATATGCCATATGGATACAAAAAGTAGCCAGGGATCTGATCCCAGGCAGGAACGTGTCTGGAATATGCTTTAGTCATATCAAAGCCAGTTTGTTTATGTATGTCTGGCTCCCAGGACAACTTCCCAAGCCCTTCAGCAGACTCAAATCTTTTAATACCTCAAACTCCCAACTCAATTTTCATACATGTTCCTGAACTTTGTTCTGTCTGTCTTTCTAGAGATGTGCTGAGTAAAGGAACTAGTCAGATGGCAGCAAAGTTGAAGCAAAGACAACCATTGGCTGAAGTGGCTGCAGTATCCCAGCTCTTTTCTTCACTCCCCTTTGGACCCAAGAATGACACCCAGATAGTAAGTTTAAGGATTTGCACATAATGTCCCAAAGCCTGGAATCAGCACTATGGGTAAACAAACATGCTTTAAAAGAGCTCCCATGACCCTCGAGTTTTCAGCATCTCTTTTGTCTTGCCCTTCCTTTCCCAGAAGAGCCCTGTAAGTAGGGGCTCCTTATTTTTAGTCCCCTTGACTTTCACAGAGGTCTTCATGCAACTCTTTCTGGAAACATGCTTTCTTGCCCTACCTAAGCAAGGAATGTTGCAGCAATTTTTAATTTTTTTTTTTATTTTTTATTTTTAAAGTGGAATATGTTCACTGTCCTGTGAACCACTGCATTCATGGCAAGGCTGACTTTGAGAGGCACTGAGCCCTTGCTGCCCAGTGGCATTCACTAGCACAGAGAGAGGAATGGGAAGTAGTGGTAGCTGTTGGGAAACATGTTGAAATTCCAGCCTGAATCATATGGCTCTTCTTTACAGATGTTTAGCTCCTAGAGGCCAAATGTGTGGCATCTGCTCTGTGCACATTTGCAGGCTTCACTTATCACCACACTGCAAAGATGCAGAGATACAGAGGGGTATCTCTGGTGATTAAAGGAAAATCTGCCATGGAGTGTGTTCTAAATAAGTAAAAAAATAATCCTCTCTCAACAACCCTGGAAGGATAAGGTTAAAAGTTTCCTATCTCAGTTACCAATATAGGGATGGTATAATTATTCAGCTGTTTGCAAAGCTACTTCTCTACATCTTACAAAGCAGAGTGATGTCTTGTGACTGCCATCAGATGGGAAACCTAGAGCACTTGCATGTGACAAAAGGTGCTGAAAGGACAGTCCTAGAAAATTAAGTTCTTTCTGATCCACAAGGGATGATCAACAATGGCAGCAGTCCTGGGCCCTGCTATTCACTTGGATGAGTTAATTCTCTGAGAAGCAAACTCAGCCCCCACTTTCTAGCCTCATCTAGAGGCTAGACTCACCAACAGTACAAAATTAAAACTTTCTGCTTTCTGTCTGCCTCTCTGCAGAGTCAGACAGAAAGCAGAAAGTTTCTGCCACTTTTACTCTTTCTGATCCACAAGGGATGATCAACAATGGCAGCAGTCCTGGGCCCTGCTATTCACTTGGATGAGTTAATTCTCTGAGAAGCAAACTCAGCCCCCACTTTCTAGCCTCATCTATGCCTCTCTGCAGAGTCAGACAGAAGCAGTTTCTGCCACTTTTACCATAGTTCAAGGATATTTTGGCAACACAATCAAGACTGAGCAACTCTCTTGCAATATATTCATCATTATTGAGTATTTATGACAGAAACACTGTTTTTGAGAGCTTTTAAAAGAAAACATGGAGGAAACATATGAAAGACGTAGTTTAATGGTCCCTTCCTTCCAAGCCCATCTTTCTGTCCTTGTATTAAATAAATGTCTAATTTACAGTGGCTTCTCACCATAGATAATTTACAGTCTTCTTTCCACAAAAAGGAGATAGAGAAAACTGCTCTTTCCTCTTACAGACGAGAGACCATGGTAAGGAGAGACTACTACACTTCCCCAAGGTAACACAGCAGATGTAGAGCACAGAAGGGAGCATCACCTGAATCTGTGGAGTCCTCAGCTTAGTCATTTTCCTCACAAACCAAAGACAACCTGGCCAATGAGACCCAAATGTAGCCCCTCTCTCCTTCCCCTGCACACGGAGAAGAGCAGAGAACCACGGCTCACCTGGCGGGCGCATGCTTCTGCTCCTCCTCTTCGTCCGTGTCGCTGCTGATGGTGATGACGCTGACGGCGGGGCTGGGGGTGTCGGGGATGACGATGGTCTGCCGCTGCCGCTCCCGCGCGCCGCTGCCGGCCGCGTCGCCCCAGCCGCACGTCACCGAGGTGCTGCAGGCAGGGCTGGTGTGCACCATGGCGCAGCGGGGAGGGGTGTTCTCCTTCACGCGTTTCGACCGCTGGGGCGAGCTGATGGACTGGGAGGATGAAACTTCATAGGTGGACGCGTTGCTGGAAGAGGGGGAAAGCATTAGTTGGTTAGAGCGCCGCACGGTTAGGTCGCCCGTTGCCATGGTTTGTGAGTCCTGGTCACTGGCTCAGTAGCACTGATTTATGGAGTCTAGGAAAACTGCAGAATTGGCACAGTCACTTCTTCAAAGAAGACAGTGCCTTGCATCACTTATTCATATAATTGGCTGAAAAGTATCTTCTTTTAATAAAAAATTCAAATTTGTTCTCTCTAGAAATTTCCAGATATGAACTGCTGCCTCTCAACAGTTTGCACTGGGAGGGTAAGGGCCAGCCACAAAGCCCAGACGTACAGAACTGAAGGAGTGTAGGGGGATGCCCCCAATGAGAGAGGGGCAAACTAGCCTTTGTCCCCCAAAAAAGGAAGGAAGCCCAGAAGTTTCTCCCAACGATCAGGTGAAAAGCCACCTTATAGGACCCCAGAGACTTCACTAAAACCTTGGGGTCACCTAATTGGATGGAAGCCAAAAGGTCCCGCCTGGGCCATAAGGTGGAAAAAGAGAGAACAAAGAAACCACGAGGCTTTTGTGAACGTGTTTCTACCAGGATCAGACCTCTGTACCTGGATCGGATTTTCTGTTTATTGTTTTTCCTTTTATTAAACCTTTCTGTTTCTAACACTGCAGCAGAAGCCATCCTGCTCATTCTTTGCCTCCAAAGGTAATAGCTAAGCTATCCTTGGTGTATTAGGTTCCCTTTTAAGGGCTCATAAAACCCTGGCCCGAAAAAACAGAACCTAATACAGAACAAAGGCAGGCACAGCATGGCTGACACAGGAGGGAGAACCATCCAAATGATAATCCCTTCCTCCTGCATCCTGCATGGATGCATCATTACCAGATACTTTTTGGCCAGAAAAAAATAGAGGTAAAATTAGAATTTGTTGTGGAAAACTACAAACACTTATCAAGAAATCTGCTTTTTTAAACAGAAATGAGTTGCTGTTTAAGAATCTTTTTCAATGAACATTTCCTGCTCAATACTTTATCCTCTAGGACAGTGGTGTCCCATGGATGAGAGCAGGCAGATGGGAGGACATATACTCAGTTTCATTCCTGTGTGAAGCAGCATACAACAGATATAAATCAGAAAGAAATAATATATTTATTACACAGTAGAGAAACATTCCCAGTCCAGCTTCCCTGCCTGACCAGTCGGAAAAGTGACACTTGGATCAGGGATCCAAACATAAAACTATCAGCCAAACAGTGCAGTGTGGGTCTACAGATGGGGTTATTTACCAAAGCACACTGACTGAAGCCCATTTCACTCATTTCCCACACTTCCTTTCTTGGTTGTGTTTCTTTTTGTTATTGCAGAACATCTGGAGATTCAAAAAGGAAGAAAACCCCAAAGTTCTGGTTTTGTTCTACTGAGGGGCCTGGGCTGCATGTTCAGCCTGGCCCGAAAGCTAACAAAAGGAATAGGTGGCATCCATCAAAGGAAGTCACCCTGGCAGTATATCACACTACACCAACTTACACAGGCTCTTTTGCATAACAAATGGCTGCACAGTAGCATTCAAAGTGCTTTTTGAATACCAATGAGCAGCATGGAGTACCCTCCTCTCCAAAGGAGCACGGCTCCTCATTTGGCACAAAAAGAGTCACAGTCAATGAAGCTGTAGAAACCCTTTGCTCTGAGAGTGCCCCATTCCTCCTGGACACAGCCACCCCACCCTAAAGTGACAGGAGAGGGGAGGCCCTGCACAGGCACACTGGCTGCAACAGGCACACTCTTTTGCTGGCTAGCTGGGGACAGAGCTGCCTATGTTATGAATAGACTAAGACAGCTGGAGCCCACCCAAAGTAAATCCAACATTAGAGAGCAGATAAATGGGAAGGATTTAAATAGTGGCCTCTTAACTTGAGTTGAACTGGTTGCGAACTCAGAGCCACTCTGGCACCAGTCCAGTCACCCAGGAAAACCACAAGCTCAAGCTTTTGCCACTGCACAAGTGGTGACCCATTTTGGTTCTCTCCCCCGTGCTGTTTTGTGTTTTTTTAATTTTAAAAAAGAAGTGTGTTAGTTGCACAGCCCAAAGGACCTTCTCCAGAGCAGCTGCACATACATCTTGAAGAGCCTTTTCCTCTGAACAGGACTGCAGTGCTGTGACAGGCACTGCAACCATCCTACCATCTGAGCTGTGCAAGAAACCCCAGATTCCTCCTTCCAGAACCAAATGGTGCTACTGAGAGATGACAGATGCTAAGGACTGCCCTGTATGAGATATCCTTATAAAATGATCCCTGTTTTACGCTGCCATAGTTGTAATAAGGCCAGGGTATAATAGTGGGTATCTGTTGCTGGTGTGGACTGTTGAAGACAGGGGCTAACGACCTATGTTAGGAGCTAGAGAGCTCAGGTGGCCTAAACGCACCCCAGTCCTCCACTCCCCGTGACAGTAAAGCTCAGAAGACTGTCATCAGCCCACTGCTTTGGAAAGGGCAGATCTTGTGTGTGCACATCAGGCACACACTGCTGAAGATGCAGCCTCCTCAAGGTGCATATGCTGCACCTCAGGAGTGCTTCTTCCAGAGGATGTGGGAAGGGCACTGCATCACACTGACCTGAGAATATGGTTATGTTTTTAAATCATCGTGACTACGAGGCTCTGGGTAATTGCAGCATCATAACAAGTTGAACAGGGCCTGAGCCTCCCAGTCTGTATCTTCTCCAGCCACTAACTCCCACACAAAATGATGCTCTCTGGGTATAATAAAACACCCCTGACTACCTCCTGGGTACCAAAGAGGTGAGGCAGCAAAGAGCCCCATCATGAAATGCGCGATCCAATCCCTCACAGGCTGTGGAACTAAGCCTGTTTTTTGCCCCACAGGTGTCAGTCAGCACCCCTCTTGCCAGCACGCCGGCGTGGCGGGAAGCGGCCAGGCCGGGAGCCGCGGCACTCACCGTGGAGCCGACTGGTGCTGCTTGCTCTTCCTGGCGGAGGCAGCGGCGGGTGGCTGGCGCATGACGTGCGCGACGCCCACGTTGACGGGCTGGGCGGCGGGCAGGGCCACGTGGCTGGCCAGCAGCGTGGGCTGCTGCATGATGGGGTTGTAGTGGCTGCCGTGGGCGTGCGTGTTCCTGCACAGCGGGGACACAGGCACACGTTGGGAATGCAACCGGCGGCTGCTCGGCAGGCGCCTCCACACAGCCTCCCACCACCCTTCACTGAGGTGCCCTCTCCTCCAGAGCCCGCTGGGTTCCCAGCTTTCCCAGGATGGAGCGTTTTCCCCAGGGATGAGACTGAAGGAGTGGTGTGGGCACAACATTCCACTCCAATGGCATGGAGCAGAGAAGTCTCCCACAGCTGTCAGACAGGGGTATCAGAGGCTGCTGCCCTTCTCCCCTCAGCCCTGCAGCCTAGCAAGACCCCATCCCTCATGGCTCCTCCAACACCTGTGGGTACTCCAGGGCCCCTCCAAGCACGCCCAGTTTACCTCCAGTCTGCCAGCGGTTGGGTGCCTGCCATGGACTCCGGGATGACGGTGGCGTGCTGGACAGAAGTGTGGGTGGCCACCCCGGTCAGCTGCTGCCAGGCAGGAGGGAGCAGGATCTGCTGAGTGCCACTGGGCCATGCTTGCTGTCAGAGACAGGAAAAGCAATTCCTTAGCAAAAGGCATCGAGCACTGCACATGAGCGATGGTCCACACTCAGCTGGGGCCTCTAATAGTGGTCATGGTCATACTACACAGCTTTTACCACCTTTCAGTCACAGAAGACAAACACTGTTAGGAAACCACAGTATAAGCAGAAATAGTTATAAATATAGAGAATTCAAAGGAGGGGGCAAAAAAAAATTCTTGCCATACAAAGCAGCAGCTGTGTTTTAAGTGAAACAGGGAATGGAAGGGATTAAAACTTGTTGGCATTTCAAACCAAACATCAAATTTTTTAGCACCCTCTAATTTTGACTCTCTCATCAGCTGGACACTATGGCTCCATTATTAATTTCCTCTTTCTACAGCCAGCTTACTTTCTCAAGTAATGCCCAGTTACACATTGCATACCTGTCCTCTCTCCATGTGCTCTCCAACGTTTTCCCCCCTCTTAGAGGGTGGAAAATCTCTGCTCTCTGAGTTGAGCCATCATTCTGCTATGCAATCACCGCTCCAGCTGTGCTGCCACAGGCATGACTCAGGTTGTCCTGCTCCAGTGACTCTGTGCAAGTCAGATGATTGTTTTTTGGACATGGGAAACTTTCTCAGCCATGTGCTGCCCAAATGTGGTTCTGGCAGCTTTTTGCTGCTGGGCTGAGGAACTCAGGGGTACCAAATACAGCCCACCTTAGTCCCAACCTGCACTACTCTACTGGACCTGTGTTGTGCTATATCACTGTTGTAAGGAGGCTAAATTTGAGGGGAGGCTTCTTCCAGGCACGCATTTACCCCCTTCCCCACCCTCACAAGGATTGTGTTAATTGTTCCCATGATTCCCTCCTATCCCCCAGTAACACAAACCCCAAAACAATCCACCCTGCAAAAACCCATTTTTTCCCAATTCTAGTCCTAAGTTTGATCATCTTGTAACTTTTGTGTTGCTGAGTTACATGAAAAGGCTGCTGTAGTGAGGCCTCTTGGCAACATCTGCAAAGGATGGAGAGTCGCAAGGCTCCTGAGAGCCCTTCATCTAGGGAGCCACAACCATGGACTGGTGATGCTTGGAGCAGGTAAAAGGATGAGGCAAAGGCACAAAAAGATCACGGAGGAAAAAAGCCTTCTTATTATTCTCTTTTCTTTTTTTACCTCAGCTTTGCTTTAAAAGAGGAGACTGAACTACTGTTGAAGTCAATCCCATGGGACTACCTGGATTTACTTGCACACAAAACTGCTTCCTCCCTTTTCAGGAAGGGAATGGAACAAATCTAAGCTCCTTGTCCGACTACAGTGCATAAATTTAGATGCAGTGTCAGAGCACAAATTCCTAGGCACAAATTCCTCACTTATTAGGTAAGGACCACTGAATCATTTAATCTGCAGATAAGACTTGTCCAGGCTGATCCACCAGCACTGTGTGCTGTGCTTACACATAGAAGGCTTGTCCTGGCAGCTGCAGCCCATTCCCAGTCAGTGCATTACTATGAAATTTTGGTGGGGTGGTGAAGCAATGCTCTGGCCCTTGTCCTCGGGAGCTGGTGGGTCCCCTGGAGGGACCAAGATTGTACTCCGGACACAGAGCAGGAACAACTAATGGAATAACATTTAGAAAGCCAGCGGCAGGACCTCTGTAGGAAGTGATGTTGGGAAGGAGTTAAAAGGAGAGAAAATCAAGAATCCAGGGTGTTATTCAAGGGCAGGGGACAGTTCTGGGTCACACCATGGAAGCCTGCTGGAAAACTGTACAGCTTTGCCTCGTCTGAGATCTGAAGCCGCAGTGAGCTGTGAGTAAAGACAGGATCAGTCTCCTTTCACTGGTCTCTGTGTATACAATATGTGGACCACATTTACTTGAGAGGATGAAAAGAGACACAGAGAAGTTACAAACAAATTACTTTAGCCACTGACCCTGCATCTTGCAGGCTGCTTGCTCTGCCTTGCACTGCCTAGCTCCATGCCTCAGGCTGCAGACACACAGCTGCCAGACACGATGCTCAAGCTCTGTCAGTGCCTCCTGCCCTGGATCCCTCTGTCCCTCATCTGGGACATCTGGTCTTGTACAAAATGCACAGGGAGAACTGGATGCCAGCTGCACTGGGATGCAGTAAGGCTTTACCAGCCACAGGCACTCTGAGGAGTGCAGACACAGAAACCTGTGCCGTGAGCTGGATACGAGGGGAGACAGCACTCCACAGTTCTGGGAGCACAAGGAGCAGCACCATGCCTCATCAGTGGGACAAATAAAGCAGGGGACAGACAGAAATGGGCTCTGGAGGCGCTGCACTCTCTGCTGGGGCCAGTCCCTCTTGCAGTCACAGCAGTTGCATGGCTGAAGAGCATTAGATAAGCAGCTGTGCATGAGAGGAACAGCTCTCTGCTGGGAGAGAGACACGCAGCCGCCAAGATCAGATGTGACTACAATGCATCACAAAGAAGCTGTGTTTTTCCATTCAGGAAACTGGAATTGGGTACAGATTTGTTTATCAGACCAGCTGCTCAGCCCGAACCGAGCGAGGCCCATGGACACCAGATGCCACCAGCATCAATCAGAGCACCCTGCCATCAGAGACAGCTCGCATTTCTCATCGCGCGAGACAAACAGGCACAGCAACAGGCACATGTCCTCCCTTTTATTACATCAAAAATTAAAAGTCTGTGCAAGTGAGGACTGTTTCTCAGAAACAGCTAGAATTCCCCTTTGGAAGTGACAGTCAATGAAATGTCAGTAGAAAGTATGAAATGGGATGCCCATGAAACAGGTGCTCACGTGGCAGGGGCAGCACAGAAATTGGTAACCTGTGGGCAGGAGGGTGCTCAGGAGGAGCTTTACCACCAAACATCCCTCACTTGCATAGAGCCCAGCAAAGCCACCACGAGAAGAAAGAAGGAGCAGGAGGTACTGAGATCTTTCATGATCCTGCTGTCTTTAGATGTTTCAGATCCAACCCTCACCCCTTCAAGCCCCAAAGGACAGCACACCATAGGAGACCTGGCAGAATGGTGGGGGCATGTAAAGCTAGCTCTGTGACCTCCTTCACTCACTGCCTTGGCTGACTTCTTGGACAAGAAAGAGGAGCCTGCACAGACTGCTCCTTGCTTTGCCATGGCTTTTGTTTCCCTGCCTCTTAGGCTCTTCCTTCCCACCAAACAAGGGAGGTGGCCCATGTCAGTTGTTACAACAGGCTGCAGCAGAGATTGGTTTGATGTTTCAGACAGCTCTCTGACAAAGGCCCTGCTATTGGGAAGGGGCAGGGCACTCTAGCTGATGGAAATCACACAGGCTGCAAGTTGCATTTTGATTTGTCTTCACCAGATAATTGTGACTGGCAGCTGGAAAAGGGAGGCAAGAGCACCAAAAGTCTTACCCCAGCAGTGAAACACACAGGAGTAAACCCTGAAGTCTTCTGGTTCCTGACTATATGAACATGCTGGCATACGGCAGATCAAACAAGCTGGTCATCTTTTCCAGCTTGCAAAACTTAGTTTTAAGTATACTAGATGGTTTTTTCCCCTGTCTGGTATCAGCAGAGGTACCATGGTGCCAGCTCAACAACAGCTGAGGCAGATTCACTGAAGCCTGCACAAGGAGGAATGAACTGCTCCTCTGGTTTGAGGAGCTAGGGTACCCCTTGAGGATGTGCACGTAATCAGTAATTCCCATTCATGGTTTTTTTTTGGGTTTTTTTTTTTTTTGGTTTTTTTTTTTTTGGTTTTTTTTTCCTTAGGAGAAACCATGCTTTTCCTGTGAGAACATTTCAAAGAATTGTGCCAATAAGAGCTGCTGACAAGGAGAGCTCCTTGAGTGTGGGGCCCTTGCCTCCATCTCCCACATCTCTCTCATACCTCACGTGCAGAGGTCCTCATGAAACAGAATGGTGAAAACTTAAAGCATGAAATGTATTTATCAGCAGCATGAAATGCACCAGTGCAACTCCTGGCTGCAAACTACCCCCACAAGATTTCAAGTTCAGGAGGATGCAGGAGGTTATTAGAGGTTCGTTCTCAGCAGAGGTCTGACACTGTTTTCCCTGAGGCTTTCCCACTGATTTCAGTAGAAAAGCAGAAAGAGAAAGGGTTTTTCCAGTGGCTTTTGCAACTCTGACATAGTCTTTGAGCTGAACAATGAGCTGGGGGAGATTCTGACATTTCAGAGAAAGCTGCCGACGCATATACAGTTGCCCAAGTCTCCAAACTGCACCACAGAATGCCCTCAGAGAAAGGTTCTCTCCTCAGCCTCCAAAAGCTAAACAACACAGTAAATACCTGCTGAGCTCGGTGCCTTTAGAATTCCTTACCTGTGCGAGGAGTCCTGGCTGGATCTGAAGAGGCTGTGCCCCAGGAGCCTGAGTGACAATGGGAACGGCGTTCTCCATCCGAACCGAGTACCCCGCGTGCTTCGAAGGGGAGGCTTGCAACCCTGTTCCACCAGCACAGAAGGGACAGCATGAGCCACCAGCAGCATGGCCAGGAACAGGGGCTGGCTCCCAGAGGAGTCTAAAGGCACTCGCTGATGTCCACTTAAATTGCAATGTTCAGTCCCTCTGAATAATCAGCTATCAGAGTGCCACCTGTTCCACCCTGGCCCAAACATGTCCATCAAATGTTCACAAACATGATACAGGTATAAGGGTGCAGAAAAGACATTTCCAAAGGCAATAAGAGGTTAGCTGAGTTTGTATTTTAGGGTACCTCAAGCGCATGGGAAATATTGCAATACAATGTGCACGGGCAGAAAAGGAAAAGAGGGGAGTGAATGGCTTCTCTTTCCCATATTTCTGGTTTAATAACAAGAAATGGTCTTTATCAGCCAAAACCCACTGTTATATGAGAATGCTCTCTTTACACCAAAGTGGGATGGGAATCCAGAACTCCATACTCCCTCAGCCTTGATGGGGACAGAGGATTTTCTCCAGCACAGTTTCTTGGGACTCATATTTGAAAGGCCCTAGCATGCCCCAAACTCCAGTCACTGCTGGCTGAGCCCCACATTAGCCTAACTGAGCTGGAGGCACCTCAGTGCATGGCACAGCTTGTGCTGCCTCCTCTACTTTGGAGCCTTCTCAAAGCAGCAAGCTGAGGATGGTCGCTTACATACTCCACTTCTGAAGTCAAACCCTTGAGATGCATTTTAACTACGCTGAAGAGGTCTAGCTAAACTTCTCTAGTTCAAAAGAGCTTTGATAATCTTGCAGAACATTTAACAAGTGCCTGGAGACTAATGCACAGACAGGCTTGTAGAAATGAAGAGCAGAAGTTGCACCAGCTGAACTGAGGTCTATTTAGACCACTTCCTACAGACACTTGGCAAGTTTTCCCAAATTGCTACAGCATGTAAAGTTAACAGAAGGACAAGTGGTTAACACTGAGCATCTCCCAAGTTGTCTGACAATAGTTCCTACCACTAGTATACACAGGCAGAGCTGTTTGCAGCAGGGCTGGAGCGGAGGGAATTTTCCTCATAACTGGTCATGGCATCTGTTATGGGGGAGAACCCTCATATCCACCAGCACCACGCTCCCTGTTGCATTATCCTCCCGAGTTCCCCTTTTAGCAATGGAGTCACTGAGAAGTGACAGCATGACCCATAACATACATATGTACTGATTTACTGGTACTGTGTGGGAAAGCTTTCCAGTTTACCAAAGTACGGCAGAAGAGCCTTAAACTTTGTTCAGGGCAAAGAATGACAAGCACCACATATTCTCCCCCAGCCCCTTCTCAGTTTCAGCTGCCTCCAACTCAGGATGTTAGAGGTGCCTGCAAGATCCCCTGCCAACACTTCCACCTGCAACAACCTCGCTGCTCTGATTTACTAGGCCAGCCCTTTTTTCTGCCATACGACCTCATCTGAGGAATCTCATTTCCAACAAGAGCTGGACGAAGCAGCAGGCCAAGACCTGGTGAGGCTGTCACTCACCTTGGAAGCCTGGTGGGCAGACGATGAGGGCTTGCTGTAAGGGGTCTGGCCGGGCGCAGATCTGCGCTGTTCCCGTCTGCAGGGGCATGCTCCGCTGGGCCACCGCAGCCATGGACGCCGCTGAGGGCTGGTAGAGTGCAGATTGGTAATTTAGTATGGAGACCTCGGGGTTGGCTAAGGAAATAGTGGCACTGGAGGAGGTGGGAGCCAGGTTGGTGGTCTAAAGGAATGACGGGAATTAAAACAAAAAACAAACAAAAAAATGAGGGAGATGGGTACGCTGGAAGAAGCAAAATCCAAAAAAATAATAAAGTAAGGTAGTGTAAGATAAAATAAAAATCAAATCAAAACAGCAAACAAGGGGTAGAACACTGGACACTGAGGAGTAAAGAGACAAGGGCAGAGCTGGGGGAAGGATCACAATCAGCCTGGGTGTGCCACTGCTGTGCCATGCCATGGGACCTCTGGCCACACAGCACTGCTTGTACTGCCCAGAGACACAGCACGTCCCCTACAGCAGAACTGCAGCTCCATTTCTCACCCACTGGCTCTGATTTGCAGCATGAGGAAGATGGGCTCAGAAAATGTTGCTATCCACAAATCACATTGTTCACTCATCATGTACATAGCTCTAGAAGCTACTCACATTTCTTAGGTAAAATAGATGTGGCACCTCCATGCCCTGTGAAATATCCTGAGAGGGAAAATCCATTCTAGCCTTTCCTCTTAGATACCTTGTATCTAAGATGGCACAAGCCCCTTGAATTATGTTTGGAATTTGAAGTAATCAGAAGTCATAACAGGAGGCAATGCTAATACCTGCAAGGTCCAAACTTCACTTGAATTGTCTTTAAAATCTCTTAGAGCAGAAACTCCACTTGAGGGATGTTTCAAAGCCAGGAAAATCAGCCCAGAGTTCTTAAAAATTTAGAAATCTGAAGACTTTTTTTATTTTTATTTTGGACTGAATCTAACAATTGCGGGCAACTGAACAGCTCTGCCACTGCTTGAAATATATGTTTTTAACATGCATGCCTAGGCAGCAAGACAGTACCAGACCAGAGCCTATCCTTCCCCTTTGTCCAAACATGCCAGCAACACTATAGGTCAGACAACTCTTTCTCATGGTGAATGTATGAACCCAGGAGGAGGCTTTGATCAAGGTGCAGGAGAGAGCAAATTAAGCATTCTGCACTGCACTGGTTGCCACTGGACCTACACTGCACTGCCACAGCCACAGCCATGAAGGATGTGACAACAAAGTATTTCCTCCTTCTCCTCTTCTCCTCTCAGTGCAGGGGCTGTGAAGTGCAATCTGCTCTCCTCTACAACACACTGAGCAGCAACCACGGCAGCTCCATACTGGTAATCTCAGAAGCCATAACTGGAAGGAGGTAATCCCCAGATATTTTGCAGAGATAGGAAACAAAAGAAAGCCAAGACAAGTGGTATGTTGAAGAGAATTGTGAAAGGCTTAGAACTTGTTCAAATTAAAACACTCTTCCTGGAAATATTTCTGCCAATTCTTCTAGGAACACTGGGCATACTGGCTCTGCTCAGAACACACACCCCTTATGAGAATTCAGAAATGACCATGGATCTCCCCAGCCAACAGCTGATCTTAATGTCAAGCGAAATGTGAGGAAATGAAAGCAAGTCTGCCTTTCCTACAAGTAGCTGTGGTACAAACAGTGTCTCTGCCCTGCAGCTGGGGCCTAGGGGAGCATGTAGCATGCATTTCTTCAGTCAGCACCTCAGAAACAGCCTAGAAAGGGAACTGGTGTTTGTAATTAGTACCCTCTCACACAAAGTCATGACCTATCTCTGTCTGTGCCTGCCTGAATTGTTTCAAAAGACCTTCTGTGATCACATGTATCAAGACCAGAGTCAAGAAGTCTGGTTTTCTTACTGGCACAGGAGCATCCTGCACATCTACACACACTCCTTCAGCTCCCTTGCTTTCCAAACGCCATTTCCGCAATGCCACCTGCAATCTCTAGAGTGAATCTTGAGCAGCCTGTCCCAAAAGGCTTCAAAGCAGCAGCTATTTTTTTGCTTCAGTCTCCTAGAGTGCTCTCCCTGGAGAGTTTCCTTTCACTGCTGTAATACAGTACCACAGCAAACAACTTAGCCTGCTAGTCACATAAAATTTGTTAACACAGCACCCCCCAACACTGGGGCAATCAAAACTAATAAAAATCACGATTATAAAGGCAAAGCCCACCAAACTGGAGTGCAATGTGTTCACAGCTGGGGCACATGCACATAGTTCCCACATCAACTGTGGCCCCTGAAGTAAAAGCAATGAGAGGTAAGAACAAATATTATCGCTAAACTCTTCTTTCCTGTTGATCAGTTACAGTGCTGTGTCTGTTACAGAGGGTTTAAATTAACTTTACTTCAATGCCAATTTGAAGAAGGGCTGTAAGATCACAAATACTTCTGCCTGACCCAGGGAGTGAAGTACTGCTTGCTGCATTAAGGGACTAATGAGCTTTTCCCCATAGCAACCTCCCAAGTAAGCAGGATTTATCACCCCAACAACAACATAAACAACAAGGGCAACATTTCCCCGTCACACAAAATGTCACAAGATTACTGCTTGCCTGAAGAAAAGAGAATGAAGAGAAGAGCAGAGGAAGGAGAGTAGAAAGGCACCATCTCTTGGCAGGCATGTTAAATGGGATGCTACTTTGCTTTTCATCTTCTAGGCCCTCCTGACATAAATGTTTCAAGCACTGGCTGCTTGTGATTGATGCCCTCACCTGGTTGTGGACTGTGTTGAGCTGGTTGTTAAAAGTCATGGTCAGGTTGGTCGATGTACTTGGGGCTACGTGGGTGATGAATGGTGTCTTGCTCTGGTTCACCGTGTCGTACATATTCACCCGCCGCTTGCAAATCTCCATGTTCTGGAAGCAGGACTTGACACTGCGCAGGGAATGGGGGGCAAGGAAGGCAGAGAAAATCAACCAAGCGACTCACACAGGTTACAGGTCATCACAGTGGCCCTGCAATAGGTCTCCATGGCAAGCTTAGCACTTTCTAGGCTCCTAAAGCCCTTTGCTATTTTATTCAGGTCTCTCTTAACCGGTGAGAGTCAGATTAACACTGCACTGAAGAAGGCCAAGATAAGAGCAGCTGCCCTGGGACTCCTGGGTGCTCCCACGGGTCTCTGCACTGCAATACAAGTCACAAAAGCAAGCAAATTGGTTGCTCTTTAGGGAACAGGGCAAGAAATACAAAGTGGCTGTATTAAAAGACTAAAAGAGACTGAGAGCAAGAAAGAAAGAAACATTTTTTTTTTCCTGATGATGGAGCCTGACAGGAAAAGAAAATTCATGCTTTTTGCCTCAGTGTAAGCGTAAAGATAGTTTTACATGTCTTTTGCAAGGAAGAATTTCACTGTTCTCGATCACTGAGACCCCCTAAAAAAGTCATCCCTGTTCCTTTTAAGTAGTTGTTCACCAAGAGCTGAGTCCAGCTAAGCAGTTAAAACATTGCCCCTGTCTGGCTAAATGCCTGTGCAGATGCTTATCTTGAAGCATGACATCTCCTCTTGCAGTCAATGGGACAATTAATATCAAAAAGTTGTTCCAAAGCAAATTCCTCAAAGCCCCGAGGGAATCTGGTTCTGAGGTTATCTCACACTGAGAACTGGATCTCTGGGGGAATGATTACAGCTTCTTCCTCTACACTGACTTTCCCTTAAATGTTATTGATATAGCAATGGAAATTTTGAGAAGTATCCTATTTTGTGCCCCAGTAAAGGAGATTAAATACTCTCTACATTGCTAGAGCACAGTAGGCATCTGTAGATGAAACTGTCCATATTTCATTAATTAGAATACCAAAGCATACAGAAGTTAATAGATAACAACAGTGAACCTAGGCAACCCTGTATTCTTAGTACAATCTCACTTTTGATATCTGAAAATCAATACAGGTTTTCCACAATTCTTCCACAATAACTGTTTTTACAAATGTGACCTCAGAGTCTGAAACACAACCTCAGAAAGTATAAAGGCATTTATTTTATTTCCATTATCCCAACATGGAGAAAGAGAAATTCCAAGCAGTGAAAATCAGCTGTATGCTGACCGTTTTGTAATGAGCTAAACTGCTGGAGGTAGGGAGTATATCCTCACATCACTTTTAAGAAACAGCATCCCTTCAAAAGGAACAATCTTATATGATTCCTAAGGCTGATGAAGAGACCTAGATCTTTTTATCCCTGTCTTGTCTCTTACTCAAATGGTCACCTCTCATCCTACAAGTAACATCTTGGTAACTGGATCTGGGTCATAAACAATCTGCAGACAAGCCAGGCTCAGGACACTGTGCACAGCTGCCCATTATGTGCATTCACTTCCAGAACTACACCTGTTGGTCACAGAACGTCCAGCAAAATCAAACTCTTATCAAATAAATATAGAAGGCTATCAGATCACTTTTCAGTCAAATATGAATATAATTAGCTGCCCATTATGTGCATTCACTTCCAGAACTACACCTGTTGGTCACAGAACATCCAGCAAAATCAAACTCTTATCAAATAAATATAGAAGGCTATCGGATCACTTCTTTTCAGTCAAGTATGAATATAATTCTCCCTGCACAAAGAAGAAAGCACTGGGAGGAGTATAGGCTCTGTACATGGTGAATAGTGTGTGTCACCAAACGGTTTTATCTAATAAGATGTAAGCTCTACAAATGCAATACCAAGTTCTCTGGCTTTGCTTTAAAAAAAGGTGGGAGAAAAAAACAGCAAGGACAAAGCAAAACAGACAGAAAGTCTGAGGGGTAAATTTAAGAGCCAGGAAGTTAAATATGTGAAATGGGAAGCTAAGCTCACTTTGCTGTCTGCTTGTAAGAAAGCAGAACAGCCCCACTTGCACTGTCGAACTTGCAGCCTCTCTGAAACGTGCCATCGCAGAGATTCCTTCCAGAAGCTACAGTTTCCATATATCCTCACTTTTTCTGCTGCTCAATTTATTTCCAAGAGAGATTATAGCTCCCTGCATCTTTCAAGGCTTTGAAGTTTCTATTCTCCAAAGCACAAGTAATCACAGACAAAAGCTCCATCCACTTGCCATGCTGGTTACAGCCTATTGCTCTCTTTGCCAGTCGCTGTTTCCAGCGTGGAGGGGCTTGCGGGGTTACACACCCGGCTGGCACACACTTGGTATTCAGAGACGTGATGCTGAATTCTTTATTTGGCTAAAATTCTCATTGCTGTTGGCCCCAATGATATTTTCAATCTTTCTGGGGCTTTGCCTGAGCAGCCACAAGTGAGCACTTCAAAAATGAAGATGTGGTTATGGACTGTTGCATTAGTGGAAAGATTTCTGACGGCAATGCATTAGGTCACTAATCTCTCCTATCTTACACAATCAGTTGTTGCATAGTCAGAAGGACTATGTTGCAAATTAAAAGACTTTTGTCTCATGCATGATGCTCACTCAGTATTTTTGCTGTCATATTTTATTCATGAATTTTTTTAATATGAAACTTTACTTGTTTCCTCTTTAGCACAATCATGCCCCATCTTATTTTCATTTATCACTTACCATCTATTTATAGGTAACAATGCTCAAAGATGGCTGTGCAGGCTAAGTCTGGGTCTACACAGATCGTGCACCCACTACCTTCTGGTAAGCAGATGCTCTTATCTTGTGGTAAATGTAACAAAAAGGCAGCTACAGCTCCTTCAAAGGGGGAAAGCTACCTTAAACAAACTCAAAATACTGAGCCACCCATACAAGCAGGGGCGCTGACACAGTTACCTGTTGCTCTGCAGCTCTTCAAGCAGCCCCCTTTAATTTTGTACCTGAGCTCCTGACAGCCTTTAAAACACTCATGCAAATAGCACCCAATGAAAATACAGCACTGTGCCAATAATTGTTCTCCTGTCAAGGGGAAGGGACAGCCTGTGAAAGCACCTGGAAATGCCAAGTGCTATAAAGGAGGATGTTCAAAGCTAAGTGTCCTGAATGTTTTGTAAAACTCCCACTATGTGTCTACCTTCTTCACTTACACCTGAGAAATCTGTCCCTATGTGAACTGGACATGGGCAGTGGGCTGGGGACAGTATCCTGCATTTCAGGCTGCTGTGCTCTGTGGTGCAGCCTTAGGAGAAGGGCAGTCAGGCTTGAAGATGTGACTTCTCATCTCCATCAGGCAGTGGAGCCCGTCCTCATTCTACATGTGTCAGATGAGGTCAGAACGTGGTATTTAAGGTGACACAGGTGGACAACAACCAAGCTGAAAATCAAACTCCTCGTCCTGGTGCTTATGCCTGTAAAACAGCCTGCTGTAGAACAGCTCTTCCCTTAAAAAGCAAACAGCCCCAAGCTGACTCCTGGCACCATGGGAAGGTTCTGGGAGGAAGGGTCGGGTCCCCTCTGCAGATAAGGTTGATTACCCCAGTAACAATCAGGACTATATTACTTTGAAATAGACTGATACTTTCAGCACTAATTGCATAATTTCTCCTGCATTTTAATGCAAAAATATGTAATTACTGAATATTTACATAATTAATGTAGCACACACTGAAGCGTTTTAAATGCCAAGCACCTACAACACAATTCTTGCAACCTTGAGTTGGCAATCATCTTTTTCTTTTAAGCAGGAAAAGATTAAAACTTAGGGATTAAACATCTTAAAGCCCCTCAGATGCACTTGGTCTCCACCACAACCAGCTCTCCTTTTCACCCCTCAATTCAAGACCCAAAGGGGAACAAAAGCCACGTACTGTGTGCTGTGAGGGAAGTCGAGCAAGTGTGTCATGGTGACAAAAGGGTGGCTCAGAGTTTCAATGGGTGTTATCCTCTTATCCGCGTCTATCGTCAACATCTTCTTTAACAGATCTATGAACTCCCGCCGGTCTGCCTTTTCCACCAACATATCGCTTCCTTCCAAATCCGTTGTCATGTTTACCTAGAGGAGAAGGGACAGGAGTGAGTGCCGAAGGGGAAGAGCAGATGGTCAGGTCTCCAGCAAACTCTGTTTACTCCTCGTTGGAGCACACGCCCTGAGAGCCTCCCTGTCTAAAGGAGGAGCTGCTGAGGAGCCACGCCAGACTCCGTGGTGGCCACTCATCTGGCTTGTGCATGTCACATCTCCAGACAGACTGTTAAGTGTTCAGCTCGCCTGGGTCAGTGGCTAATGAAACACTTAGTCACCCTCCACTGAAGATGAAAAGCTTCCATGTGGTAGCAGGCAAGCTCTGATAATCACAGTATTTATCATATACTGCGCCATCAGACACTTATCTATGTGTCCTGTGAGCAAAAAATATATAAAATACATAAAAATTGTCAGTAGGTTTATGAGAAACATCCCATTCATGTATCAGGTGCCAGGAAAAAAAAAGACTTGTTATATTATTTCATTAATTATCCAGTCTCCTCAGATTCCAGTCCTGCATGTTTACATGCTTTACTTGCTGCAATGTCTAGACCTTGCTAGCACAAACTCCAGTTTGGTGCTAGTGTTGGGCCAGTTTTGCACACTGGTTTGTCAGCACAAACTCCTGTCACAGGAGTGGTTATGCTGGGATTAGCTCTCACAACGACATGGAACTGACACAGTGAATTAGTACTTCCCATTCTTCCCCCAGCCAGCCATGTTTTACAGTGAGCACACTCTTCTGTGGCCATGGTGAATATTTCCACTGTCACCCTTTAACAAATGGGAATATTAAAGCACAGGGAAAGCAAGTGACTTGCCAGCGGTCATACAGAAGAGCACTGGAGAGACAAGAGAAAATGCAGGATTTCAACACTCAGAGATGTGCCTTAGCCACTTTCCAAGGGTGCTTTACTACAGCACACACACGCCTGTGTGCAGTCACTCCTACAAAGCAGCACGTAGCAGCAAATTTGATAGGCACAATCCTGGTATTTTTCAGGAGCTGGCCCCAGAATAGGATACACAGAGAACTTCCATAATTCCCTTTTGTTAGCATTGCTGGAAAGCATGCGAACAGTCTTGCTGGTTACTCACCAACGCTCTTACCTGTGCCATATCATCCAAACAGTTGAAAATATACTTTCTTGCTTCCTTTGACTTAATCCCCGTCTCTGCCTCATGATCATCTGGCGTCTGCTCAAAACAGGACACAGGCATTGACCAACACTGCCCTGCAACCAGCTGCAGATTATGTGCCACTTCCCACATGTGCCTCATCCTGTCCTCATCAGGGACCACCATGCCTCTCTTGCCTGACCAGACACCATTTACACGATCTCCACCACGGTTATGTGACATCTTTTATGTCACAAGGTCATTTATCTCTTCTATTTCACTCCTGAGGGTCCTCCCAACTATGGTGGGTCTCTTATAACCACCCTGGCATTGAGGTAGAGCATCCCATCCCAGCCAGAAGCCCACTGGCCTCTCTCCTTGGGGACAGCATGCAGCCAAACCCACTGGCACCAGACACTCAGGGCTCACCTGCTTTACTAGAGGTTTTGACTGTAGAATTGAAATGCTTGCCTTCTTTTCCCCCCCACAATGAGTTAGATATTAGAGAAAAGTCTGCCCACTACACACGCCAGACACTCAGGGCTCACCTGCTTTACTAGAGGTTTTGACTGTAGAATTGAAATGCTTGCCTTTTCCCCCCCACCCACAATGAATTAGATATTAGAGCAAAGTCTGCCCACTACACACCAAATCATTGACTATAGGGAGATTTCCAGGTCAACTCTGGACTTAAATTTCCTACATTTCAATGCCAAGCAGGTGTATTATAGGCTCCAAATTCTGCAGATGGTGGTTTTACCTTGGGCAGGATCCACCCCTACTAGGGTGATCCACCCCTATGTCTGTGCTGCACTGCAAAAAGCAGAAACTTAGGCTCTCAGGTGATCTGAGTGTCTCCTCACTTCCAACCAACAACTCCAAGGCAAAAGAAACAAGGGAATGTCTTCCTACCTTCAGCCTCCACAAGGGATATGGTGAGTCTGTATCCCTGTTGAAAAACCTCGTCGTCTTTGTCCCTGCACTTAACAAATACTCTGCTGGTAAGCCCTGCGTCTGTGAAATGTAGCGAATCTGTAAGAGAAAGGATGAGAGGTCACTGTTCATCCTGTGGAGATCTCTGGAGGTTTTCCTTGAAGGAGTTCAGGAGGCATTTGAACCAACAGAACAGACAAAAAAAGAAGGTGTAGCATGTAGAGAAACTTCACGCCAAAAAACTCAGTGCAAGGAATGAGAGGAAGAGAATTTCTGAATGGAATTCCCTCAATTTATCACATACATCACTGGGAACTCACCCTTAGAGTGCACTCCCACAAGGCCAAAAGATGAAAAGAGGAAAGTTCCTAAATTTTTAAAGTTCAAAGAGAAGGACCCACACAGTGATTTCAATGGGATGCCTCAACATTTCGCACCCTCTCCTCTCTAGGAAGTCATTTCAGCAATTTGATATTTGCTCTCTAACTTCTGCCTTTTTTTTCCACCTGAGCACACAGCCTGTCCTAGGAGCAGTCTGAAGTTCCAAACAGAGGATTATGAAGTGGCTGCCTTTGAACTAGGGTGAAATATACACTCAAACCAACTGACACCCTCATGGTATGGAAAGTACTTGTCTCTACTGACTACATGACGTTATTTGGGTTGCATCCACAAGCATGACCTCATTGGCACCCACACAGCTAGAAGATACTCTATTTGTGTTTCAAGAATCTCTAACTTTTATTTATTAATAAAGGAGAAAGAGTCTGTGATTACACAATTGAAGACCAATGTCACACATGCCTGAGGCACCACACAAAACCTTAACTTTGGCACCTCCTGTCTCCTGCATGGCTTCATTCTTCAAAATTGCTGCAAACTCTGCAAAACTACTAAAACCAGTCACCTACTTTAAAAATTCTAGGGAAGGATGGAAAGTGCTTTTGAGAGAAGAAACAGAGAAGGATAAAAACATTAATACATAAAGGCATAAAAAGCAGCCGTGCTTTCAATCATTTCCAAGCACTCAGGCCCCAGTTCACTGTGAATGGCTTGCTCAGCTCTGCAGCTCCTCAGGTCCATCAGAGCTCACACACTTGAGGGGCAGCAGCATCCTGCCTGCAGCCCCATGCCAGTGCTGCAGCCAGTGCCCAGGATCAGCCCCTATCCCTTTCCCAGTTCCCCAGGAACCCTCGTCGCACTTTACCAGAGGAAGCTTTGTGCTGGGCAGTTAAGCTGGCCAGTAAGGTATGGTGATTTCTTTTCCAGCTGTGTGTTTTATGGCTTTTGGGGTGCAATGGGGAAGAGAAAGAAATCTACTTTTCATGCTTGGTATGTGATTTTCAAACGCTTGTAAGTTTTTCAGCTACATTTGATTTCCTTTAGAGTCACTAATAGCCCTGCTCTTTGCTGCAAGTTATTTCCCCTGCCAAATTTTACCTTTAGAGCTCTGATTAAAAAAATACTGGTTTCAAAAGAAAAGTCAAGAAAACATTTCAGTATGTGAAAAACTTATTTATTTTCCTGCTTTTCTTTTCCTTTTTAAAAAATTTATTTCCTAAAAGAAAAAAAAGGCCCCTTTGCAGGCTGCATTTTCAGACAGCTAAGATCAGCCTGAAGAATACTGTGGGAATGCAAAGTATTCTACAGCCCTGGCTCTAGCTGCCGCTGCATTATCGGTTTTAGGACTACAAAAAGGGCATAAAAGCCTATAGGGAGAAAAGGGACGACAGCTTATATTAACTGGAAACCTACATCAATGCCAACGTTCTCCTTCTTGTCATTGCTTTTAATATGCACTCTCATAAAAGGGGTTATGAAATGCAGCTGAGTTCATGCAGTTTCTTCTAACAAATAAGGCTTTATACTGCACTTGCTGTTACAGCAGAGAACGGGTGCCTGCTTTGCACAGTGAGGAGGGACATGCACAGAGCTCTCCAGTCAATGGCAGCATTGACTCTTGATTGAGATTTCACTCAGGCAGTCTTAAAAGCCAGCGTACCAAGCTGCACACTGGTTACCTGGAACAAATACCCAGGTGCATAACGACAATGTCGACTTGGGAGAGCAAGAAATACAGATCCATCATTAGCCAAAGTGAAAAAGTTGGCATCTGCTCACTCTGACAAGAGAAGGGAAAAAGATGTGTGCACTTACCAGCGCCCAGGGCAATATCCACACCCACCTGATCGTACTCTGAAGCTCCTGGGTACAAGGGCCAGCCCAAGAACAGCTCTGCAATGACACATCCCAATGACCACATATCGATTGCTTCACAAAAGGGTAAACCGAGGATGATTTCAGGGGCTCTGCAAAGAAAGAGGTCAGAAGACATCAGCGAGGGGAGCAGAGCTGCTCAGCTGGCGTTGGGCAGCTGGTGCCCATCATGACACTCACAGAGCTGCCACCAGCAAGTGTCACTGCTCTGACAGAGCTGAGGGACTCACTGGTCACTGGCACAGTGCCTGCTGACCAAACATTAGTCGGTGAATATTCAGCCTTACAGAAGAGTACTGTGGCCATATACAGCCAAGAGACAGCCTCACATCTGGCAGCATTTTGTAAAGGAGGGAACTACCACTGCTTTCATCCAGCAAGTGGGAATAGGAAGGCCCCCAATCAAGGCCCCCACTCGAGGCTCTCAGGCCCAGCTCGCTGTCCTGTGGAGAACTGTGCACATCCCCTGCAGTGAAGCATCCTCTGTTCACACAGCTCCGTGGGTTCACAAACAGCCAGACATTAAATAATCATTACAGGCCTGGTATAAAAGGATTACTGAGTTTTTAAACAAATGGCTGTAACAATAAAACAAAGAAATAATATAATTAGATCTATTAGACCTAAGCCTTTTCCTCAGGAGGAAGTAGCCAAGAAGCCTTCCTTTCCCAGTCTGCCTCAGGCACCTGATTAGATTTCCTTTTCCCTTTCAGCCCAAACAGCCAAAATGCAGCAGCTCTCTGGCTATGCATTTATTGCCATCTCCAAGAGATGCCACCAAAGCCCCTCTGCTCCCTCCCCTTCCAGAGGGAGTCTGTCCCACTGCCTTGGGGTGGTTGGAATCCTTCTCCACTGATGCTGAAAAGGTCTGTAGGATGAGGTTAGATGAACTTGCTTAACTCCAGTAGCCAAGGTAAAACAAGATGAATCCTGACCTATGTGCCCCAAACGTTCTGCATTTCAAAAACTCTGTGTGAAAGAACCAAAAATATTTTCCAAATACTGAAAACCTTATACACACAAACACCTTCCTTACTTATCCCACCTCTGCCTAGATGTCCACATGCAGTTATATGACACAGTTCCTATTTATACAAGGATCTCCTAAAGCTTCTTTCCTTATCTTGCAATGCTTCTAAAGTCCCAGCTCCTGGTGTCATGGGATGCACAGCAGGAAGAATAACTTACTCGCCCATACTCCTCTAACTATAAAGAAAGAAAAAGCAGAAGACAGATAAACACACACTGCTTTAAAACTTTCATCATTTTAAATATAGCCTTGGGATTTCTCAGGCCCTTATGCATATTTTGGAAATGCCTGGGGTTGGCTATTGAGCAAATCAAGTGCCACCATCCAAAGCTCGAAATAGGACCTATGATTCCCAGTTCCCCATTTGTCATCAGGATAAGATCTGACACTAGTGAGATCATACTAAGGATTACCAATTGCAGTGGAAAATATTATGTTTTAATCACACCATTACATAGTCATGTCAAGACAAGTCTTTAGCCAAGAAACCAAGCAAAATGGTATTTTTTTTCCAAAGAAGCAAAGACTCTGTAGCAAGAATTCATGCCCTGTCTTCACAAACTCCCCCAGTTTTGGGGGGACTTGTAATGATAAAGAAGCAAAGACTCTGTAGCAAGAATTCATGCCCTGTCTTCAGTTCACAAACTCCCCCAGTTTTGGGGAGACTTGTAATGATAAAAGTTCCAAACTACCTCTTCTTAAACCAGCAACACAGAATGTAAAAATTACAGGAAATTCTGGTATTTTAAAGTTAGAATTCTTTGTGCCATTCCCACAAAAACAACTCAGAAACTTAAAAAGTGGCTACCTCTAGCCTCATCTGTGCTTGTCATTGTCATACCCTACTGCTCTTTAGCCCACTGTGACAAAGTTTTTATTCTAACAGCAATGTCTCCTCATGAACAAGGGGTTAATTTTCCTCTTTTCCTCCCTATTCCGTCATCCCTGTCATCCCTACACACTACCCGACACCTAGACAAAATGCAGAGAGAAAAAGACAGCTATGGTGACCTGAATCTCATTACTATGTAAATCCTGCATTCAAAGCCATCTGCCTCTCCCTGCCTGCCTTCCACATTGTGAAGGAAATGTCCCTGGTCACTAATGAGAGCTCAGCCATGAATCGCCTCAACTTCAGATCCCTCCCACTAACTCAAGTGGAGGGGTGGACTGTAGGGATATTCCCAACATGATTTTGTGTGGAAAACTCCCTGTGCATAAAAAACCACTTGCACTGCTGTCATATGCAGCACACCCCTCCCTTCCTCTCTCCCCACACTTAGGCTGCCAACACCTTCAGACCCCTGCAAAATGTGATGACCTAGAATTTGAGATTCCAAAATCTCTTAATTTTTTTTCTCCTGAGTCTTTGGCTGTCCAGTGGGTTTACCTGAAAGCTCCACTTTCTGGAGTGCAGTAATAAGGAGATAATTTCTTTTTAACATGCAGAAGAAGTTTTCCATCTTCACTATTGGGGAGAAAAGCACAAATCTATGTCCATATTATTTAAACACAAAGAGTGCAACTAAACAGAACATCACTCATGTTATGAATTCTAACAATGGTGAGAATGCCTGTGAGAAGGGGCTACATCTAGGTGATATGGTGCCTTACATACACCACAGCCACCACTTGCTGTGGTTTTCTCCCAGCCTTCATGCAATCATAGTAATTTTTCCACAGAAAGGGAGTGGCCCTAAGACAAAAAGATCTTGTTAACTTAAGTAAATAGTCATTAAGACACCTCAAGAACAACAGGTAGTGGACACCACACAGGATTCCAGATTTTCAGCCAGCAGATACCTCCTGTTTGCTGCAGGAAAGAGGGAGCTGCAGCCACCAGGTGCAGTGCTCTGCCTGCTTGAAATGGCCAATGCCAAGCATTTTGGGGCAGGATGCTATGAACTCTGTAATGAACTAACCTGTCCACTCTCAGAATACCTTTGAATCTCCACTGTGGTGGATCTTGTTCTTTATACTCAGTTATGGATGCATACATCCTTCTGGTCGTAGATCTAACATGCAACTCCTCTCTTTCTTAACATAAGCATGTCAGTTTTTTAAGAAAAGGTGAGATCTTGACTTCCATCACATGCTATGGCACAGAGTTCCACAGGCAACCTTCTGCTTTCAATAGCATCTTAGCTTGGCTGTTTAAAGCTTGATTTGCCTTCATCAGGTTTAAATTTGTCACCTCTCACTCTGCGTTCACAAAGATTGGTTTAGAGGTGAAGATGGAAATGATTGAATCACCTGTCCTTTACCACAAGCTGATTTTATATCTTTGCCCTGTTCTCCCATGTCTGCAGCAGCCTCTACCTCCTCAGTGTACCATGAAACATCCCATGGATGTTTCAATCCACTTCCACTGCCTGACCCTGCAACTCCTCTTCCTGACATGACTGCTTGGAGACAGGCTGAACAGACCTAGAAAGAGTTAAACACAAGGATATTCCCCAGACTTATTTTACACTATTTGCAGAATGCTTTCGCGCTCCAGTCTTCCCTAAGCTTAATATTTTGTTTGCTTTTGGAGTGACACGAGGCATTTTAGCAGATGTTTTATCTGGGAGATCCTCTGAGACACGCAGTCCTTTCTCCAGAGAAGCTGCAGTTAATTTAGGACATAGAATTATGCAGAAATAGTTCATCTCTTCCAATGTTTACTGCTTTCGGTACTGCACTGATCTAGCATAATGTTTTCTGTAATCTAGATCAAGTCCTTTAAATGCTCCTCACTCTTTTCTGCAACCTGACCTAAGACAGTATGTGTATTGAACACTTCACTACTGGTCCAGTACTTTTTACAGATAATGAATACATTAAATAACTCTGGTCCTAAAATGCACTCCACAACTGACCCTTGTTTTCCTAAAAGCACTCAGATTTAGCTCAGCAAGAAAAACAGTATAACTCTCTTTCCCAAAGGGAAAGAAAACAGTTTCCATGTCTTAAACAGTTCTTGTGTGGGATTTCTGCATGCTGCAGCTGCTAGCACTGTGCAACAAGGGAAAATGCCCTATGAAAATGTGCACATCCCAGTATTGCAATCATAAATTGGAAGGACGTTTCACGTGGCAGCAGATCCTCCCAAACAGCACTGAAATCTTCAGCAGATCTCTCCATGACTGCACAGAGAAGCATTTTCTGTACGAACAATACAGGTTTTTTAACACAGACTCACCAAACCTTTTGATTGTGGTGAGGGATCTTGTCTGCCAGATACCTCAATACATGCAAGAACATCCCCACTTCCCGCTCTCCACCCATTTCTTGGCTGTGCATCTGCAACACTCCTGGCACAGTAACTCCTGCCTCCAGAACAAGACACACAGCAGGAAAACAGAAAACTTTGCCCTCCTGTCCTTCCTCTCCCATGAGCTGCCCTCGATGTCTTCCAACAAAAGACACTCCCCTTCTGCATGCACAGGCACAACCTGTTCTACAGCTCGCACAAATCACACCAGCACAGACCAAAGGTTTAGAAACCACTTGCCACCAGCCCGGGAAAGACTGAAGAGCCCTGCCAAGAGCCTCTATCTCCAGGACAAAAGCAGTCATCCCACTTCCCACATCCCTACCCGTTTCCAACCAAATTACTTGCCTGGACAGCAAAGGGTGACCTGCTCTTTGGCTCAGCAGTGAGTCCAGTCAGCCCCCATCCTTTGGAGCCCAGCTTGAATGTGCCTGTGCACCCCAGAGAGCTGCTGGTCCCCGTGCTGGCAGTGCCCACAGGTCCCCAGAGGCAGCAGTGCCATCTCATCATCTGCTTGCACCTCACACACGACCCCGTCCTGCTTCCAGGCCTGCTGCTGGCGGAGTATTTACTTTAGCAACCCTGCTTTGTGGCAGGGTAATTTCATTGTCTGGTGTTTCTGTCAGGAAAATTAATTACCAGTCTAGCTTGCTGGCTTTTTCACCCACACATCACAGGACATTAAAAACAAATGCCAAAAAAATTCATTTCCACAGACTCGGATTCAGAGAGCTGGCCTCTTTCTGAATTTTAAAACTTCCTGCAAACTGCCCTCCTCAGGGATAATTTACCACCTCTGGTAGGAT